ACTGTCAATGGGGGCTGGGTGCTGCAACATACCGCAGTGCTGGAAGCTTTCAGCACACCCACTCCATCATCTCCTCTCTCTCTCATACTCACCCACAGTGCCCCTTGGTCTTTATGTTCCTGTACCATTCTCTCTGCCTCCAACACACGCTCCTCCCTCTTTCTTCTGTCCTACATTATAATCTCACACTTTCCTCTCCTTTACACTGCTTACACAACACCACTCTCTTATACTCACACACACACACACACACGCACACACACACACACACACACACACTTGTTGTGTTTCCATGTTTTATGGGGACATTCCATAGGCGTAATGGTTTTTATACTGTACAGACCGTATATTCTATTGCCCTACACCAACCCTACCCCTAAACCTACCCCTCACAGGAAACTTTGTGCATTTTTACTTTCTCAAAAAAACTAATTCTGTATGATTTATAAGCTTGTTTCCTCATGGGGACCTCAAAAATGTCCCCACAAGGTCAAAATTTACTAGTATTACTATCCTTGTGGGGACATTTGGTCCCCATAACATGATAAATACCAGCTCACACACACACACACACACACACACTGTGAACAAAATATACATACACACTACAACACACTCCCCCTAATGTAGTAACTCGCACAGTACACCTCAGTTTAATCAGCTTGTCAACAAAGCCCAGCAGGAAGACTGGTGGCACTTGTTCTGTAATGAATCGATTGCCCATCGCACAGGGATTGGGTGTGGGAGATTTACCTGAATGTTTTAATTAAAATCTGTAATGAGCTCAAACTTCTAGCCTTGTTGACTCCCATTACCTCGTTCATATTGTTTAAGTCCTTCAAGGACCTCATGAAATCGAACAGTGCACTTTTCTTTCTGGTATTGATGTGTTTCCTATTGGAATAGGAAGTTGGGCCAGGACATTTCTAAGGACATGTCCTTTTAAAAAAAAAAAAAAAGAAATATCCAGTGGCCTTTAGTTAGATAAATTTCTCAAGGCTGGAGGAAATGAGGAAGCATAGAGTATTGTGAAGCCCCACCATGATTTACACGGTAATTAAAATTAAGAGGGAGGGGCATTAACATTCCAAAATGCATTGGACACGCCCATGAGTGTATGGTTTATTTGCATATAAATTTTAGGAGTACACAAGCATATAGACAACCCAGGCTAACTGAAAAAAAATGTACCTGGAGTGTCATTTCTGCTGATATTAGGCTGATATTACTTATGTAAATACTTACGTACTTATGTTTATCTTGATTCTCGAATGTTTGAAAAGTGTAATGTCCAGTGAACTAAAAGCGCATTGAATTTGAAACAGATGAACATGAATCTGGCAATGTTTTATTATGATGATCATTGTATGTATTGGAAATGAAATGTCCAGTGAATGGCATTAAAGTTTAATGCTCTATTGCATTTAAAAAATATTGCTTGACCTACACTAAACCCCAGCCTAAACCTAATCGATAGTGTTAACAAAAGGAAAGGCAGGGTAAAAATGAATTTGCTGAAGCCATCATGCCATTTTAGCTTGCTTCTTCAAGTCTTTGAGCTCTTTTAGCATGCTCAGTGGGACTCATATATGCACTTCACATCACAAGTGCAATGCTGTACCTGGTGCGCTACCGAGCAAGTTTACTATGTCAGAAATCCACAGATATGGAGCTGGTAATGTCATGCAAATGTTAAAATGTATTAATTAAGAATCCATCCACTATGATAAAAGTGGTTTGAGGTCATAACATAGTATTGTGCAAGGAACCATGTGTAATTAATCAATAATCTGCCACTGTAATCACAATTTGTATGTAAATGAATAAATGTTTTACTGCCACTGGTGTTCATTTTAGCTGAAAACTGCAGTAAATTGTACTGTATGTGTATGTATGTTTTTTGGAGTTTTGCAAAAATGTAGGTAGAAGTATGCTTTTCCATTGAGCCTAGGTTGCACGTAGATGACCTTAAAGCTAATATACATGGAATAAGTAAAAAAAACAAACAAAAAAAAAACAGGGTATTTAAGAGCTAAGGACTAAAAGGCTGTTTCAGATCATTCTGAGAGGAACATAGTGAGCTAGTGGTACTTGCTGATTGGTCATTGTTTATTTTTATTTCATTTATAGTAAGACATGGCGCCCTCTACTGATCGTAAATCAGACAAGCTGGTACAAAAGTGTCCAGCAACTGAAGGTGAACTATCACTTTAACTTTGAACATTACTGACACTTTTTTATTACTTTTTATTTGTCATTGTTTTAATAATACACTTTTTTTAATTATTACATATTGCACTTTAATAATACTTTAACATCACCTAGATTGCCAAAATGACTGCCAGTATAGTCAGAGTTGTACTATGCCTAGTTATCCATCAAATTAATCACAAAAATCATTGTTGTGTTTGCCTTCAGTATAGTAATAAAGGAATATACTGTATGTTCTAATGCTGGATTTTGGGTTTACACAGTAGTCCAACCTGCAGTGTCCCAGTACCAAATCACCCATGCAGATTTTGTAACATACCTTAAGAATAGATCTCTGAGTACTAAGTAAAATGGCAAAATAGACATATTGACAAGTAAATAAAAATCTGGATATTTGATACAAGCAGAATAATTTAAAATGGCCACTTACCATACGTGCTGAGTGTCCCGAAGAGAAACTTATAGGGGTGTCAAGCCAAAAGCCTCAGAAAAACAGTATGTTGGCTAAAATGTTCTCTCCTGAGGTGTCTTTAGAGAAAACACATAGGCTTCAGATGTCCAGTGTCGTACACACTAAACTGACACAGAGCTTGAAGATAGCTGATGCAGAAGGAGAGGAGAACATGCAGGATCTTTCCTCTTCTCACTCAGCCCTTCAATATTTTATGCTGTACTCACCAGCAGTGTCTCCTGATTGGCTGAGCCGCTGCACAGTAATGTATGATCTCGCTTTTAACTGGATGGAGGCAATTTATAAGGCCTGTCCAGCATTATTCCTGTTTGCTCTTGCTCACTCTCTCTCTCTCTCTCTCTCTCTCTCTCTCTCTCTCTCTCACACACACACACACACACACACACACAGAGGATAGCTGAGCATTGCAATATCAGATGTAGATGAAGATGCTTTCATTGAGAGCAACATACAAATTAGGAAAAGCACAAGCAATTATACAGGAAAGAGATTGAAAGGCTGTGATGAGACAAAAATGGGAGTTACTTGTGATGTTGCTTTAAGGAACAGTTCATCCAGAAATGAAAATTGGCCAGAAGCGACAGTTAAAACTCCATAATGATGGATTTGTTTCTTACTAACACGCAGTTTATCACTTCACAAGACATTAATTGATGGACTAGAGTTACTTTTGTGTTGTTGTGATGTTTTTATCAGCTGTTTGGACTCTCATTCTGACGGCACCCATTCACTGCAGAGGATTCATTGGTGAGCAAGTGATGTAATGCTACATTTCTCTGAATCTGTTGTGATGAAAATCTCAATTTTCATCTTGGATGGCATGAGGGTGAGTACATTTTCAGTGAACTATTCCTTTAAGAAGGTGTATGTAGGCAGCGTCTTGTTCTTGTGGTCTTGAGACTTTCAGAAACCACATCGACATGGCAGCTTTGTCTGGTTTTGATTTCACTTCTATGGCCTTATCTATAACCTAATATACTGACAAAAGACAAGGTCTACAGAAACACAACAACTGTGCGACCGTCGACCCCAGGGGTTAAAATGTACCTTTAGCTCTAGCCTATATCACACATTGATTACTATATGTTATGTTCATGTGCTGCAGTGATGTGCAAACATTTAGCAGATGAGCAGCACTTGTCCTCTTGCAAAATGATAAATTAAGATGATTTCATTTCCAGGGTTATGAAAAAAACTGCTTTTGATTTGTCAGGATGATTTTTTCACTCTTTTGATATCCTTGTGACATGAATTTGTGTACGATTGACTGATCATCCAAAACACCCAGTTCTTTTCTATCAACTGTTTTATGCAAGATCTTTTTTTAATCACTAGTCCATGTTAATACTGAAATGAATAAAAGGACAGTAAGTAAGCTACTGTATTTCACCGCTAGATGGCGATGTCTACTCTTTTGTTGTTGTGGGATGTATTTAGACTGACTGCTCATATGAGAAAGAAGACTACGTGCATAGGCTACTCCTGGCAGACGTGAAATAAGAGATGTTAGTATTAGTTCTAGTATTAGTATTATTTCTTCCAGGTACTGTTTTATACTTGTATTTAATTATATATTAGCTATATATTATACTATTTTTGTAGTTTTATGCAAGACGTGAAAATTGCAGTTTTCTTACTAGCTACTACACTCTAAAAAATGCTGGGTTAAACGCAACCCAGTGCTGGGTAAAATAGGGACAAACCCAGCAATTGGGTTGTTTTGGCCCAGCGGTTGGGTTACTACCCAGAAGGTTGGGTTAAACATTTAACCCAACCGCTGGGTCAAAACAGCCCAATTGCTGGGTTTGTCCCTATTTTACCCAACACTGGGTTGTATTTAACCCAGCATTTTTTAGAGTGTAGTTTCTTACTAGCTACTAGTCCTGGAATGCATCATATATCTATCTATATATGTAGCATATATATTTGAACTGTATTCCTTTAAAAAATTCTGAGCCTAGAGGCATTAAAATGTAACGTAAATATAAATCAACAGATGTATCTAATAAAAAAAGAACACACTGTTAATAATAAGTCAAGGATCAGTAATTCATTGTATCATTGAGATAAACATACTTGTTTATTTAAATGTAAATACTCTACAACCATAACACTTAAAATAATATTAACAGAAAGAAAAACAACAGTTTTAAGAAAGTTTTAAGAAAATATCTCCAATAAAAAATTGTAAGCATATGGCAATCATACAGAGGAGAAAAAAAAATAAAGCTTTTTTTTCAATATGCAAATAAATTACTGTAGCAAAATAATCGAGTTAATGAATTACAATCAATATTTTTTTGCTTTCTGTGTTGTTGAGTTGTAATATTTGCATTATGAAACAGATGTTTTGGGTATGTACAGATATGTACAAAAAAATTATTATTATTATTATTTTTACTTCTGATCATTATAATTTCTTCCCGTCCGTTATCTCCCCATACAACCACTGTCTTCATTTATAGCAGTAGGTCTCTACAACACTGCAGTTCAGTTCTACTTTTTGTTGTTGTTTGTTTTTGTTTTAAATTTGTAAACAAGCTGGTTTTCAGCTTATAAAAGTGTACAAAAGTGCAGCTGCTGCTAGACAAAATGCTGTACTAATGCAGTCGTTTTAAAAAAAGCATATGTCATTTAGCTGTGCCTCAGTGCATGTTGATTGCTGGTGAAATGATTCAGAGTCCTGGAGAGGCAGAAATATGACAGTGAGCTCAAAATCTGGTTTCATAGGTTCATAACACATGAAATACACACTTCAAGCGCATACTTTAGTAATTAGTAAATTAGTAAATTAGTAATTAGAATAGTCCAAATTTGCATTTACAGGGATAATTGTTTATGAGATTACTGTTTTTATGGCTGTACAAAGTGAATGAATATTATGCATAATATTTAATAAAAGCATTGAGGCAGTTTATGATTGACTGTCTGTTTCTAAACAACTTGCCATTGCACAGGGCTTCAAAATAACCCAGGGTTAAGTACCTTTTAACACCAAAAGATGATTTTGAAGACTTTTAAGACAAAATTTAACCAGGGTCATTAAAGTTAATTAAAACCATTAAAAAAATGTGTTACTTGACATAAAATGAAATTTAACTGAAATTAAATAAAATATTTAAAAAACTAAAATTATTTTATTTCAGCCAGTTGTCAAAGCAACATATCTCATTTTCATTTAGTTTAACTTGATGCACTACAATAACTAAAAATGAATAAAACATATATGGACATATAAAAAAAGAGATACAATTTAATAAAAATTACTAAAACTTTTAACAAATTAAAATATGAATAAACACTATAATGTCTCAAAAAAACTATAGTCTCTCAATGATACTAAAATAAGACTGAATTTAACTTTACCTTTAAATGATGTCAGGCCATTGGCTTCTGATGCTGGTGTGTCTTCATCTTTAATTAAGAGAAACATTGTGAGTCATTTGCGATAAATTATTTTTTATATTGTGTAATGGTCTTATAGCTCAGAAACATTATCATAATCCTGTAATTGATATACTGTACATTAGCAAAATGATTGATTTCTATTACAATATTACGATTGGTAGATACACATTTGTTAGGTCTCTTACCTTTAATCACACTATCCTCATGAATGGCTGAAGCACAGTCAGAGATCAGTACTGCTTTTTCCTGACATTCTGAATGATAACAGAGAGAGTGTGGCAATTACATTTACAGTAGTTTAATAAAACAAAATCATACCTTTGGCTTGTAACACGAGCAAAAACATGTTCACTTTGAGTCACTTAATATTTTTACAAAGTATAACGTTGGGAAATAGTACATTGGTAAATCATTTGATTGTAATGTCAGTAAAAGCACATACCCTCCAGCTCTGTTGGTATGTTGTCCATGTACTCCTTCATGGGTGAAATAGTTTCTGCAGAGTAATCAAAGACCCATATGAATTTGCAGAGAAATTATACACACACACACACATTCTTGCATGTGGTTTATGGGGACTCTCCATAGGCGTAATGGTTTTTATACTGTACAAACTGTATTTTCTATCGCCCTACACCAACCCTTCACCTAAACCTACCCCTCACAGAAAACTACTGGCAATTTAAAACACCATTTAGTATGTTAAAGCCTTTTGGTTTATGGGGACACAGGAAGTGCCATTATACACATTTGTGTCCTCATAAACCATATATATCAGAACACACACACACACACACACACACACACACACATGAAGAGCAAAACTTACGGTTCTTGGAGTCTGTCATTGAGAAAAACAAATCCTCTGGTGCTGTTTCTTTTACCTCTGATGATAAGACATTAACATTTTTGTAAGGAGTAATTACATATAAAATGTAATCCAAAACAGACAAGATAATGCTGAGTGTAAAATGTGGTCATGTTAGACAATCACAACAATAATAACTCTATATGATTGAGCTCTTTATGTGTCATTGTGTTTTTGTTACATGACTGAAGTTTGGGGTCACAAACATTTGCACTAAATTTATTAAAAGTGACTGTAAAGACTTCTATAAAATGTTACAAAGATTTTTTTGAAGATCTTTTGAACTTTCTCGTAATCAAATAATCCTTAAAAATGTATAACAATTTCCACAAAAATGTAAGCGGCACAGCTGTTTTCTACATTGATAATAATGATAAATGTTTCTTGAGCAGCAAATCAGCATATTAGAATGATTTCTGAAGGACCATGTGACACTGAAGACCGGAGTAATGATGCTGAAAATTCGACTTTGAATCACAGAAATAAATTACATTTTAAAGTATATTACAATGGAAAAAGTAGTTTTAAATTGTAATGATATTTTAAAATATGACTAATTCACTGTATTTTTGATCAAATAAATACAGTGAGTATATAAACTCTAATGAGTATTAGAGACTTTTGAATGGTAGTCTATGACAACAAATTCAAGATGTCTGAATCTACGTCAAAGGGTGAAGTGTTTAAAAGCAGTTTTAAATTTTAAGGCAAGCAGCTATTTAAGTTTACTAGAGTGTAAATGGTGTTTACACTGAGTGTACATTATAGTAGACACTGTTTAGACCAACAGTAAATATCAGTAAATAAAACCCTGTTTACACTAACCTGTATATATTGAGAGATCCAAACTAAGTGTAAACAGAAGTGGTACTACAGTATTTGTAGTCTGAGCAATGGGTGACACAAGGCTGGTGCTTGGTATGAATAACACTGCATGCAAGACCAACAGCATAAAGAAGCTTCATTTCAGAAGTATATGCATTAATTGCTGATTGTACCTGGTTTACGGGTGATTTTTAGAACGATGCATCCAATGATCAGGATTACAATACAACAGACGAGACATCCTGAGATGGCCAGCAGTATTTTTCTTTTAAATACTGTAATAATGACGGAAATGCACACATTTAGTTAAAGTGAGTTAAATCAACATTTCCTCCAAACATTGTATAATATATTATATAGAAATACGAGTTTTATGGTAACATTTTTTTTTGTCTGTTTTGTCTGTCATCTTGGCAGAATATGTATAATCTCACTGAAAATAAAATCTATATACTAAAAATGTTTTTTTTTTTTTTTTCCAATAATCTTGAAAACATTCCGACATTGTTCTAATGCACAAGTTATTCACATCTATACACTGTATGAAACAGGTTTAATAATAAATATTCCCATTACTCACAAATATTATTGGCTATGAAGCCGTCACTCAGAGCGGAGTACAGCGGTCTCACTGTGTTTATGCCCTTGCACTTGAATTCACTTTTGATTGTTTCTTCATTTCCTGTCACTTTGAGTACATCCGAGGATCCATTGAGCTGCTGTCCGTTCATGTACCAGGTGTAGTTCCACTGTCTGCCGTCTGAGACGTTACACCGGAGAGTCATATCCCCTGTCATGATGTCGCTCAGTTCAGTCTCCAGACTCAGAAATGCAGGTGGACGAGCTTAGAGCAAAGTAATATGTTACTTAATCTTTTTTTTGTTATAAAATATATTTTATAGTGAACCATCTAATCAGGATAGCCCTTAGTGCTTTTCCTTTTAAAGTGATTCTGCCTTCATTTACCCATCCTCATGCCGTTCCAAACCTGTATGACTTTCTTTCTTCTGTGGAGCATTAAAGGCACGGTAGCTGATTTGGTTGAAATTTATTTATTTATTTTTTTGTTATGATGGTTGAAAGTCTCTTCACATTTACAGTAGTTTAATAAAACAAAATCATACCTTTGGCTTGTAACACGAGCAAAAACATGTTCACTTTGAGTCACTTAATATTTTTACAAAGTATAACGTTGGGAAATAGTACATTGGTAAATCATTTGATTGTAATGTCAGTAAAAGCACATACCCTCCAGCTCTGTTGGTATGTTGTCCATGTACTCCTTCATGGGTGAAATAGTTTCTGCAGAGTAATCAAAGACCCATATGAATTTGCAGAGAAATTATACACACACACACACATTCTTGCATGTGGTTTATGGGGACTCTCCATAGGCGTAATGGTTTTTATACTGTACAAACTGTATTTTCTATCGCCCTACACCAACCCTTCACCTAAACCTACCCCTCACAGAAAACTACTGGCAATTTAAAACACCATTTAGTATGTTAAAGCCTTTTGGTTTATGGGGACACAGGAAGTGCCATTATACACATTTGTGTCCTCATAAACCATATATATCAGAACACACACACACACACACACACACACACACACATGAAGAGCAAAACTTACGGTTCTTGGAGTCTGTCATTGAGAAAAACAAATCCTCTGGTGCTGTTTCTTTTACCTCTGATGATAAGACATTAACATTTTTGTAAGGAGTAATTACATATAAAATGTAATCCAAAACAGACAAGATAATGCTGAGTGTAAAATGTGGTCATGTTAGACAATCACAACAATAATAACTCTATATGATTGAGCTCTTTATGTGTCATTGTGTTTTTGTTACATGACTGAAGTTTGGGGTCACAAACATTTGCACTAAATTTATTAAAAGTGACTGTAAAGACTTCTATAAAATGTTACAAAGATTTTTTTGAAGATCTTTTGAACTTTCTCGTAATCAAATAATCCTTAAAAATGTATAACAATTTCCACAAAAATGTAAGCGGCACAGCTGTTTTCTACATTGATAATAATGATAAATGTTTCTTGAGCAGCAAATCAGCATATTAGAATGATTTCTGAAGGACCATGTGACACTGAAGACCGGAGTAATGATGCTGAAAATTCGACTTTGAATCACAGAAATAAATTACATTTTAAAGTATATTACAATGGAAAAAGTAGTTTTAAATTGTAATGATATTTTAAAATATGACTAATTCACTGTATTTTTGATCAAATAAATACAGTGAGTATATAAACTCTAATGAGTATTAGAGACTTTTGAATGGTAGTCTATGACAACAAATTCAAGATGTCTGAATCTACGTCAAAGGGTGAAGTGTTTAAAAGCAGTTTTAAATTTTAAGGCAAGCAGCTATTTAAGTTTACTAGAGTGTAAATGGTGTTTACACTGAGTGTACATTATAGTAGACACTGTTTAGACCAACAGTAAATATCAGTAAATAAAACCCTGTTTACACTAACCTGTATATATTGAGAGATCCAAACTAAGTGTAAACAGAAGTGGTACTACAGTATTTGTAGTCTGAGCAATGGGTGACACAAGGCTGGTGCTTGGTATGAATAACACTGCATGCAAGACCAACAGCATAAAGAAGCTTCATTTCAGAAGTATATGCATTAATTGCTGATTGTACCTGGTTTACGGGTGATTTTTAGAACGATGCATCCAATGATCAGGATTACAATACAACAGACGAGACATCCTGAGATGGCCAGCAGTATTTTTCTTTTAAATACTGTAATAATGACGGAAATGCACACATTTAGTTAAAGTGAGTTAAATCAACATTTCCTCCAAACATTGTATAATATATTATATAGAAATACGAGTTTTATGGTAACATTTTTTTTTGTCTGTTTTGTCTGTCATCTTGGCAGAATATGTATAATCTCACTGAAAATAAAATCTATATACTAAAAATGTTTTTTTTTTTTTTTTCCAATAATCTTGAAAACATTCCGACATTGTTCTAATGCACAAGTTATTCACATCTATACACTGTATGAAACAGGTTTAATAATAAATATTCCCATTACTCACAAATATTATTGGCTATGAAGCCGTCACTCAGAGCGGAGTACAGCGGTCTCACTGTGTTTATGCCCTTGCACTTGAATTCACTTTTGATTGTTTCTTCATTTCCTGTCACTTTGAGTACATCCGAGGATCCATTGAGCTGCTGTCCGTTCATGTACCAGGTGTAGTTCCACTGTCTGCCGTCTGAGACGTTACACCGGAGAGTCATATCCCCTGTCATGATGTCGCTCAGTTCAGTCTCCAGACTCAGAAATGCAGGTGGACGAGCTTAGAGCAAAGTAATATGTTACTTAATCTTTTTTTTGTTATAAAATATATTTTATAGTGAACCATCTAATCAGGATAGCCCTTAGTGCTTTTCCTTTTAAAGTGATTCTGCCTTCATTTACCCATCCTCATGCCGTTCCAAACCTGTATGACTTTCTTTCTTCTGTGGAGCATTAAAGGCACGGTAGCTGATTTGGTTGAAATTTATTTATTTATTTTTTTGTTATGATGGTTGAAAGTCTCTTCACATCCCGATAGCAATCACTAAGTTACTAAGTGGTATAAATTTTTTATATGTATTTATATTGTCCGTGGAAGGCGTAGGAGCAAAAAATGTTTGTCCAATCATATCCCTCGGTCCGAGGGCTACGATTGGCTGTCCTACCTGCCTGTCAATGTATGTATTTGCATACCTCCCCGTTCATGCAGACATGATACGTCATCAGTGGGTTCCATTATGGTATTGCAGACCGAGCAAGAACGGAAGGCGTTATTATTTTAATATTCTGCGCTTTGTATTGTAATGTTTTCTCACCGGTGAATGAGACATGAGGTAAACTGACAGCGTTACATTCAACTGCATGTGAGCATGCCCGTAGCCAGCTATGAGGTCAAGGTGTAGCTACTTTGTGAAATAATTGCCTAATATAGTATTAACTCTTCCTTCGTGCTGCAAAGATATTGCACAGCACCAAGATTAAACTTAAACCTCGTCAATGTCAAAAAATATTTGAGATGACCAATCAAATCAAAGTAGGCGGGCTTTATGTTCACAGAAGCTGCATAGAGCAAATTTCAAAGCGACACTTCAGTTAGTGGCTATAAAGTGCGCGATGTACGTAGCCAAACATTTCATATCTGACCGCTGTTTTATGATTTTAAATGACTGACAAAAATAATCAGGGATGCAAACTAAAAAAATGTCTAATTTCGCCATTTTGAATTGACGTGATTCATGAAAATTGAATGTGAAGGAAAAATAAACAATATTAACGAAGCCATTTTCAGCATATATTAGGCATATGATTAATAATGAATGGGCACATATTGTGAATTTATTCAACTTAATTATGTAGCTTTCCTGGTAGCCTTCAGTAAAGTAACTTGTTTAATAAAAATGATTCATAAAACCAGGCCCGGTTCTTAAGCGCTATAGAAGGGTGGGCGGGATACAGGGGAGGGTGAGGGATATAGTCTAGAAATTTAGACTGTAGATATTGTTATTTTAACTATGCAACTTATTGCAGTGTTGTTGATATATGTACACTGAAAAAAGAGCAATATCATGCTTTCGTGGGCAGCCTATAGCGAACCACAGAATATCATTAACTTTCGCAACAAAATAAACTTTTTTTCTTTACTGAATAGTAAAAAACTGCCCTCTTTGTTCTCTTTCTCTGGATCATAGTTTTTACACTGCTGATTCTGTTAACCAAGTTTTTTTTATTTATACCAAACAAGGCCGTAATAATGTCTACTCTAGAACACTGGGGGGACCAATTGTTTGGTCCTTTATTGAGGAAAATAAAGACCAGACCTCTATGGTACTGGTATTTATTTAAAGGAACTAAATAAATATAGGATTTAAATTGATTTAGGGGAATAAATTAAAAGAAGAAAAAAGAACAGTAAAAGAACAAGAATAAGATTTTTTGCAAAGCAATCAATCTGAACTGCAAATAATATTTATATTTTAAAATATGCACCATTCAATTTTATTTGTATTCCTAAATGCTAAATGCTATTGTCGTCACATTCAAAATGGGTAAGCTTTCAACTGAACTGTATACATGCATTTTAAACGCTTATACTTCTTGACCCGTCCATGCAGTAAATGTACGTTATTGAATAAGTGAGGTTTTCTAGAAAAATAATTCAACTGCTCAGGTAATTTCAGTGGCCTAAGGCCTATGGCACATATTCATGTAGATATGTATTAAACTCCCGTACACACTGATAGCGCACAAATATTTCTGTCCATTTTCGCTCGTTGTCAGCCTCTGCTTTTCCGCAACAGACTGAAGCCTCCGCGTGAATGTAGCACGCCTTTGCTTTCAGCTAATAAAAGAAAAATTATGCCATTTCTAATGTTATATTATGATTGTTGGGGCAGTCTTCAGCTCTTAAACATCTCAAAATACAGTCCGCTTCAGATTGCTTTTAATCACTGCATAAAAAGATTAACGCAATCTTTACCTATAGTTTTGATTGGGTGGGCAAGACACATTTGGGTGGGCTAGCCCTCCCCTGCCCAAGCCTGGAGCTGGCCCCGCATAAAACATATAAATATCAATTGACCATTTGTTTATTTTGTTCATTGACAAAGATGAAAATGATCATCTTTGATGAAAAGATGAAAACACTATCAATCAAAGCAGAGAGCCGGTATTGACAAATAATATGCTGCCCACTGACATAGTTTTAAATTGTTATCCAAATGTTTGGCCTTCAATTATTTCCTCTTAAAATGTAAAAATGAAGGCTATCAAAATGGCTGAAAAACTAAATTGTATTCTTAAATATTATTAATAATATTCTAGTTATATTCAAATTTAAAAGTCATAATTAGGGGGAAAAAGCTTTTTGCTGTGAGCGTTCATGCGTTATGGAGGAGGCGTAGCTTTGGAGAGTGATTTGCAGGCAGGGTGGGATCTTATGCTTTCAAAGCTAGCTTGTTATTGCTAGCCTTCCGAAATCACCTATCACATACCCTACCTTTAATGAAGACATTCTGAAAGTCAATGAGGTTCAAAACAACATTAGACCCCAATGACTTTAGTATGGACAATAATGAGTGCATTTTTAATTAATATCAAAATATCTTGTGTGTTCCACAGAAGAGGAAAGTCATACATGTCGGAAACAACATGACATGAGTGTGAAATGATAAAAGAATTGTCATGTTATTTTGGGTGAACTGTCCCTTAAACATGTCAAGTTATCATTTTAAACTCACTGAGTGCACTGCCATGGTTATATCTAACTCACCTTGAACTCGCACTTGTAAAGTCTCACTGTCCACTGAGAAGTCTCCTCTCTGTGCTTTGCAGTGATAGTTACCACTGTCAGTCAGAGATACTGCGTCAATAGTGTGAGTTGGATTTGTGATCAGAGGATTTGAGTCTTTATGCCAGTGGTATTCCCAACTTTCTCCTGGCATGTTACAATCAAGCTGGACTTTCTCGTCAGTGTAGAACAACTCAAACCATTCATGTTTTGTAATGGTTGGTTTTGGTGTGATGCCTAGGAGCAAGAGAGGTAACATTAGAAACAATGGACCACCTTCAAACAAAAACTGTCATGATTTGCAGGTGCTTGTTGTTCAAGGTAATCTGCCGCTAAATGAACTGAGTTGCCCAATGAAAATCCTTTTCAACATAACCAGAAATCTGACACTTTCCACTCTATTATACAAACACACTGACACTTTCCACTCTATTATACAAACACACTGACAATTTCCACTCTATTATACAAACACACTGACACTTTCCACTCTATTATACAAACACACTGACAATTTCCACTCTATTATACAAACACACTGACACTTTCCACTCTATTATACAAACACACTGACAATTTCCACTCTATTATACAAACACACTGACACTTTCCACTCTATTATACAAACGTCAGTGCAACAGTAAAGAAGCTAAACCAGTCCACACTCAAGAACATAAATCATGACATAGTTCATTAACTATTTGCATCTATTTGATTTTTTTTACATAATTATATTTTCAAGATGTATTTCTTAAAATTCTTTAAAAATGGCATAAATATGTTAGTTTTGAAAAAAAATAGCATAAGCATCGTTAAATATGGTTAGCTTTGGAACTAGCATGATTCATTATTTAAAATATATATGCTTTATTGAATGGTTTACATGTAATACATTGGATAAATATATAAACCTGGTTATTCTGTATTTAAAACACTTTTGATGTATTAGTATTATTTAATAAATCTAATTTCTTATTTCATTTATGTGCGACTAACAAATATGCATCACATTAAGTTTGTTAGTTTATGTTAAAACTCTATAATGCAAATGTTTGAACATTTTATTCAAATCATAAACATAAATCTTCAAAATAGGCTGAAATAATCTTTTGAGTTTATGGAAAGCATAAGGGCATAAGCATAAGCCATTCAGTGGTGGTACAGCAATTGTGGCGATGGAACATAACATCTCCGTTCCCTTCTTCAGGGAACGAGGGTTACATCTGTAACCGAGACGTTCCCTCTCAGTCAGTCACGATCGACGTTATGTCAGAACGACTGACGAATTGGGATCCCTACCAAAACGCCACCATTGCTGCCCCCTCTCCAGTGCCCTGCGTAAGCCGGCAAATCCTCCCACACTGGTTGGGACGGAAGACAAGACAGGGCTTAGGCAGAGGGGGCTGACGCTGCTGTTCCTGCTGTGGGATATTGGATAACACTGGGAAAGCGTACCTGAGGACGGGAACGCTACAGAAGCCACATCCTGCACTTAGGAGGTATTATGTGGAGATTACACATATGGACTGGCCAACAAGGCAGTGCTACATATGGAAAGTCCCTGCCGTAAACTCAGCCTATTTGGGTGAGGTCAATACCGAGCAGAGACGGCAGAGCAACTCTGCCAGCGAAAGACACGGGCTTACCACAAGGATAGCCGTATCATGGAAGAATACACATGTGTGATCACCTCTAGGGGGAATCACAACACATGGGTACCTAGCCCAGCACAGGGGCTAACCTTGGGCAAACGCACGAGTGCTGGACTTGTCCGGCGCTCCGCCACACCTGACCACCGAGGGTGCTGGAGGAACTTCAAACAGGGATCGCATGAGGGGAACTTGCCTGTGAAGTAATTAAGCGCACATATTCGGTCCGTAGAGGGGAATGGTACAGCAAGCGTGATAGACACTGAGCAGGTCCCGGTGTTTACTGGCCATCTGAAGCGAGTACACGAGAGGACACAGGTTCTACACGGAGATTATAAAATCTTGCAAACATGTTAGGTGTCGCCCAGCCCACAGCTCTACAGATGTCTGCTATTCGCCCTGAACCGGCTCTATCGTGTCCTTCGCTAGCATCTTTGTCCAACACAGAGGTGAATTGAATGCCCCTGAACTTGGGGGGACGCGGGGCGAATTGAATCGCATAGCCTAGTCTGATAGTCCTCGTGAGCCAGCGAAACGGCCTGGGGCGTGCTAGCCAGGCCCCCAGAAACCATGTAAGTGGGACCAGAGGAACCACAGATGTACGGCGATGTGAGTGGGGCAGCGAGTTGGAGCATAGGAACCCAACCCGGAAGGCATAGCATCCCGGAGTGGGGTCTGAGTGTGTGGTGCAACACTTACCTGGCTTCACGGTTGGGCAGTGGGTGCATGAGAAGGAATAGCGTCCTCGAGCTGCACCCTGCTGCCCACTGGTGAAGGGGGAGGGGGATGAGAGTGTCGAGGCAACGCGTCGTACACTGCCATCCTCTGCCTCTTGGGACCCGGAGATAAAGGAAACCGTTCTTTTATTGAAAGTTTGGGTACCACTGGCTGGGGAGCAAAAATGGACAAAAATGGAACCAAGTATTTTCCACCCGGCCCTCCTCCGGGGGAAGGAGTGGTGCAGTCACCATCTCCTAAAGAGCACGATTCAGAGTCTCTGGGTCCCCCGTCTCAGGAGCGCCGCTTGTTCAGACGCTTTAAGCCTCGTTCACACTACATGACTTAAAATGTCGGAAGATCGCTATGCTGTTCAGACTACATGACTTGCTGTCTGTCTTGAAGTCATTGTGGTGTTCACACAATGCAACACTACGTAAATGATCTGTAACAGGGGGTCACACACTACATGAGCTGACAACAACTCTGTCACCCAATGACTCTATCCTGTCCCCAACCACGTTTTGTCAAGAAAAACACACGCGAGAAGTTGAATGGTAGTTCACACATAAAGATTGCTGAGCGCTGATTACCCGCTGATTTTCCCCTGATCACAGCCCGACCTGTCGGCGAGCTTGTTAACTTATCCTGTTGTGTGAACTAGGCATTACGGGCCTGGCAGGGGCAGAGATGGACTCCGCCGCTTTCCTGCCGCCAGCTCCATGCTGCGGCCGGGATGGAGGCTGCTGCTGAGACCAAGCTGGAGCGGAAGCAGAGGCAGCAGGGGGCGCCCTCATCGATGAGCAGGCGGAGGGGCTGCGGCCGGCGGTGGGGTGGAAACAGCAGCGGCTTAATAGCCTCTGTCTGCTTCTGTGCAGCGGAGAACTGCTGGGCAAAGTTCTCCACCGCGTCACAGAACAGGCCAACCTGGGAGAATGGAGAGTCGAGGAATCTATATTTGTCGGACTCCCTCATATCCGCCAGGTTAATCCAAAGGTGACGTTCCTGGACCACCAAGGTGGACATCATCTGACCCAGGGACCGCGCAGTGACTTTCGTTGCCCATAGGGCAAGGTCTGTCACCGTACGCAGCTCCTGCATAACGCCTGGGTCCGAACTACCCTCATGCAGCTGCTTCGATGCCTTGGCCTGGTAGACCTGCAGGAGGGCCATGGGGTGCAGTTAGTGCGGATGAGAACTTACAGGCCCTGGACGGTTTGCGGGCAGAGCTGCAGTGCAACAGTACGCTCAACTGGGGGGATCTCCACATACCCCTTAGCCGCCCCGCCATCGAGGGTAGTGAGGATGAAAGAGGCACTAGCTCTGTTTCTGGCAGAAAAAGGTGCCCTCCAATATCTAGTAACCTCTTCACGCACCTCCGGGAAGAATGGGACCGGGGGTGGGCGCCAAGGATCGGATTGAGGCACCCCCAGGAACCAATCATCCAGCCTGGATAATTCAGGCGATGGAGGAGGCTTCCATTGCAACCCAACACGGAAAGCTGTCTGTAAACTCCTTCGGTGATTCCCAAGCAGAAAGGCTCAGCTCCGAAGCGAAAAGTTGAATGTGCGTGTGCGCACGCTCTTCCTTATATAGCCACTGTGCGATGCAAAGCTCTCACGCCAACATTTAGTGGCTTGTTTTGTTACACTCGAAGGTGATTGGGCTCTCGAGCGAGATCCCAATTTATCAGTCGTTCTGACGTAACGTCGAACGTGACTGACTGAAAGGGAACTGTAAATGCTGACATGAACCACTGTACAATGATACTGGACAATTCAAATGAAAACACATTATAAACTAGAAACAACTTCTTCATTAAACTAAACTTTAAGGTGCCTGTCATTATTTCTTTCCTATGTATCAATCATAGAATATCATGTTTTCAAAAGCAGTTTTTCTTTGCCTTTAATATGAAGTTGCACAGCTTCCGTTTCTCTTGTAGTCACCGATGTTCTCATCAGATGTTTTCCTCTGCAGGTGTACTGTCCTGAATGACCCGCTTTTGCTGAGCTGATGGAGAGCATGTTTGTAGAAAAGGAAGTGTCTTTATCCTTGAGAAGCCGAGTTCCGTTTTTAAACCATTCATAGACCCATTTATTTGACTCTTCATCAACTGAACACTTCAGAGTCACTTTCTCAGTTGGGTAAAACATATTCCATTCAGGCGCTATTGACAGTTTTGGTTTAGGTGGCTCTGCACAGATAAACAGCATAACAGAAATGACATTTTTCTAAAATTGTTCCTGGTTATGTAAAAATGCATCAAAATATGTATCTTACCTCTTATTGTCAATATTGTAGACTTTGCATATGTCATCTCTCCCCTTCTTACTTGACAAGTGTATTCCCCTTTTTGAGAGCATGTAGCATTTTTAATAGTGTAAATGGGATTGTTGTCTGTGTTTACTTGCTGTGAATCTTTTTGCCAAAGATATTGCCATTTTGAAGTCTTTTCTTGAATGCTACAAGTGAGTTTGACTTGTTCTCCCGTGTATATCACTGGGTGTGATGGATCTTGCTGCAGAAGGATTGTTGGCTGTGATCCTTTATAATGATATACAATATGATAATTTATTTATAAAATGTTTTATATTGACAATGTACATTATATTTTATAATGGTCCTTATATATAATTTTAAAATAGTTTAAAGACTAAAAAATACTTATTTATTTTTATGCATTTATTATAATTAAAATTTCAATGAAATTTTGCCTAACTTGGGGTTGATAATAAACAGCACAAAACTTAATATTGAATAATTACAAAACATACAATGTTGACAAAATTTAAATAACAGAATGAATAAGCATGATTTGTGCAAAATTCAATTAACTGTCTTCTGAAATAAGAAACTAAAAATGGCTGTATTTCACAATGCAACAAATTATGATTTAACCATAACGTGCTACTTTAAGCTAAACAATAAAATATTCTTACCATGGACTGGTAACAAATGTGGTTTGCTTTTTGCAGTCGTCACCCTTCTGCCCTGCAGCTCAGCTTGACACAAATAGGACCCGTCATGACTGGACTTTACTGAGAGTGTGAGAGTGTTTCCTTGTATTTTTGTTTCACCACTGGAGACAATTTTGCTTGAGTCCTTGAACCACATATAATTCCAGTTTTCTGAAACACCTTGAATCACACACTGCAAAGACACTTTTTCACCAGGAAACGCTTCTGTCCAACTAGACCGGATTTGTGGTTCAGGCGATTCTAAAGGAAGAGAAGAAAATGGAGGGTGAATGAGGTCAGATAGATAACACAGAGCCTAACGCTAACATGTTGATGCATTTCCTGATAATTTTACTGAGGCACTGTAAACTCAATGAACACACAATGGGAATAATATTATATAATAGAAATTTATAAAGGGGTAAATAATGGACTCACTCTGAACTTGCACTTGTAGCATCTCACTGTCCACTGAGAAGTCTCCTCTCTGTGCTTTGCAGAGATAATAACCACTGTCATCCAGAGATACTGCGTCAATAGTGAATTCTGGATTTGTGATCCGAAGGTTTGAGTCTTTATACCAGTGGTATTCCCAACCTACTCCTGGCATGTTACATTTAAGCTGGACTCGCTCCTCAGTGTAGAAAAATTCAAACCACTCATGTCTTGTAATGGTTGGTTTTGGTGTGATGTCTAGAAGCAACAGAGGTTAAAAATTAGAAACAGTGGACCACCTTCAAACAAAAACTGCCTTGAATTGCATGTGCTTTTTATTTTTTATTATGCAAAACTAAAATGAATGGACTCATGCTGCTAATAGTGTCTGACTGCTGTCAAGAAGAGTAGACGAGAAACTGTAAATGCAGACATGAACCACTGTACACTGATACAGCTTCTTCACTGGAATGCATTTTAAAGCACCTGTAACTCTTTCTTTCAGATAATTCATAGACAATGATCTTTTCAAAAGCAGTTCAATATATTCAACAGCTTTTTCATAGGACTCTCTTGGGTTCCTGCCACTTTTCATTCATATCTATTAATCATAGAATATCATAAGTAGTTTATGTGAAGTGAAGACATGTCGTTGAGACGGGGAGGGGAGGTTACAGTTTTTGATTAATTATTACAAGTGCAAATGATTAAAAAAAAATAGTGATGTGCATGAAATTTTAAACAAACGTTAAGCTTATTGACTTGCAAAATTAAATGAAATGTTTTCTGAATTTTCTGTATTTCACAATGTAACAGATTATGATTTAACCAAGACATGCTGATAAAGCAGATAACAGATTCTTACCTTTAACTGTTAACAAATGTGGTTTGCTTTTTGCAGTCGTCACCTTTCTGCCCTGCAGCTCAGCTTGACACATATAGGCCCCGTCATGACTGGACTTCACTGAGAGTGTGAGAGTGTTTCCTTGTATGTTTGTTTCACCACTGGAGACGATTTTGCTTGAGTCCTTGAACCACATATAATTCCAGTTTTCTGAAACACCTTGAATCACACACTGCAAAGACACTTTTTCACCAAGAAATGCTTCTGTCCAATCAGACCGGATTTGTGGTTCAGGCGGTTCTAAAAGAAGAGAAGAAAATGGAGGTTGAATGAGGTCAGAAATATAACACATATAAAAAAATATAACACGTGCATGCATTTCCTGAGATTTTTAACTTTTACAGCTTTTTCATAGGACTCTCTTGGGTTCCTGTCACTTTTCATTCATATCTATTAATCATAGAATATCATAAGTAGTTTTACCCTGAATATGAAGTTGCACAGCTTCAGTTTCTCTTGTAGTCACCGATGTTCTCGTCAGATGTTTTCCTCTGCAGGTGTACTGTCCTGAATGACCTGCTTTTGCTGAGCTGATGGAGAGTGTGTTTCCAGGAAAGGAAATGTCCTCATCCTCTTTAAGCAAATTTCTGTTTTTAAACCATTCATAGCCCCAATCATTTGACTCTTCATCAACTGAACACGTCAGAGTCACCCTCTCAGTTGGGTAAAACATATTCCATTGAGACTCTATTGACAATTTCGGCTGAGGCAGTTCTGCACAGATAAAGAACAATGTAATATAGAACTAGATATTTTTTGAGTGTATTATATTGTATTATGCCTTTATAATTGTACAAAACATGTACAATTGTCTTTAGAATTTATAAATAACCTTTATAAAAGTAATTTAAAGTCGTTTAAATAAATATAATTTAAAGATAATTATATTTCTGGAATTTAGGTAACACTTTATTATAGGGACCACGCATTACATTACGTATTTCATGGCACACTCGTTTTATGCGTATTTGGCGCCACCTATTGTTGTGGGTGTATTATTGACATGTCAAAGTCTAGACCTTAAATATAAGATGACCGCGTTTTTTTCAGATGTATTTCCAAGAAAAAAACATCGTCTTATATTTGGGTCAATACGGTAATAACATATTGACTGTTTATTAGTACTTATAAAGCAAATATTCTGCATGACCTTATTCTACATCCCTAATCCTACGCAATACCTCAACTTAAAGGGTTAGTTCACCCTAAAATGAAAATTAGCCCACAAATTATTCACCTCTTTTAAGCTGTTTAATGCCACTCAGCGGGTGTTGCATGCATCAGTCCAAAAGAAGAGAAATAAAAAGCACCCATCCATAAAAAGGATGACGTATGAGGTCAGCTTTGCGCATTCGCTGCTCAGAAGTGACGCACGCGGAAGCGCAGGGGAGAGATCAAAACAAAACAACGGTCACTAATTAGAAGTACAAAACAAGGATTTGTAAAGAAGAATGTCGGAGGATTTCGATATAAGCCAAGAGGAGACTGGTTTTCCTTTGCTAAAGTAAGGAAACGTTGCTTCCTTTGCTCCTGTAAACAAACGTTGGTTTTCACGAGACTCACCAGCGCATGCTCAGCGCCGACCTCATACGTCATCCACCCGGAGCTGCTTCCGTGTACAACTGTTGGCGCAAGCTACATTAAAGTGATTATTACGTTTTGAATATGGATATTTTTCTTACAAAAACGCATCGATTCGCTACAGAAGGCCTTTGTTCACCCCCCAGAGCCATGTGAGACACTGTTTTTTATGGATGGGCGCTTTTTATTTAACTTCTTTTGGACAGATGCACTGCAACACCCGCTGAGTGGCATTAAATAGCTTAAAAATATCAAAGACAATTTTTAATATAACTCTGACTGTTTTCGTCTGAAAGAAGAAAGTCATATACACCTAGGATGACTTGAGGGTGAGTAATTTGTGGGCTAATTTTCATTTTTGGGTGAACTAACCCTTTAACTACCTTTCTAACTATTAATAAGCAGCACATTAGGAGTTTATTCAGGCAAAAGTCATAGTTAATGGTTTGTTAACAGCGAGAATTGGACATTAAAATAAAGTGTGACTGCAATTTTTATGTATGATTTCAATGGAAACACCAAGAAACATTTGCTTAAAGTTGGCATGAAATGGAAGTTGAGATAGTCTTTTCTTCCCTATTGTGACATATATCCGACTGAAACGGCTTCTGGAATGTAGGGAGGGACTTCACCCTTCGCTGGGAGATTGATTGACAGACGATCTGACTAATCATAATGCTGAATCAAAGACTATAGAATACACAATACGTGTCACTCATATAGTTTTGAATGGGGAAAAATACAACACTCAATATGGCTGCTCTATCGAACGAAGCCCCTCCTTTTGAGTAAAAGAGCCAATCGCTAATCAGTAAAGTCATCGCATCACTGCAGCTGCCGATAGAAGTCCCGGTTGCTATAGAAACACTCAGCGTTCAGAGACGTGCGCTTAGGACTGTGCATGCGCACTGGCTGGTTTATTCAGGCAAAAGTCATAGTTAATGGTTTGTTAATAACGAGAATTGGACATTAAAATAAAGCGTGACTGCAATTTTTATTTATAATTTCAATGGAAACACCAAGAAACATTTGCTTAAATTCGGCATGAAATTGAAGTTGAGATAGTCTTTTCTTCCCTATTGTGATGTATATCCAAGTGAATCGGTTTCTGGAATGAAGGGAGTGATTTCACCCTTCGCTGGGAGTTTGATTGACAGGCGATCTGACTAATCATAATGCTGAATCCAGCATTTTGTCTGACAAACAACCCAAACTGGAGAGTTAGATTAATGTCAATGGACTATTGGGCAATTGACATCTTTCCGCGATTGAGACAACAAAACTCTAATGTTCATTCATGTTTATTTCATGCTATAATAAGTGGTAAAGCGGATGTTCTAACGCCACACATCATCACGCAATGAAAAATACATCGCAGAGCAAAGAGGGCACTGACAATTTGTCTTTTTTTTTTAAGAAATTCAAACAGTAAATGTGATTTTGTGGCTCTTTAATGTGACAGATCGCTGTAGCACCTCAGTTCAAGCGGTTCCAATGTGAATCGATCACTTCCTGTTAGTTATAGCATGAAATACACTTGAATGAACATCAGAAGGTATGTTGTCTCAACCATGGAAAGATATCAATACACCATTTTCAAGTTTGACTCTACTGACATTAATCGATTAACTTTCCTGGCTAGTTTGTTTGTAAGACAAAATGGTGTTTTCAGCATTATGATTGGTCAGATCTCCTGTCAATCAAACTCCCGGTGAAGGGTGCTAAAAGCCTGGTCATTGGACAGTCAGTATAATCCAACCCCTTTTCAGAGTCTGACATCATGAAGAGAAGAGATGTCGTTGAGAGGGGGAGGGGAGGTTAATGTTTTTGATTAAAGATTACAAGTGCAAATGAATAAAAAAATTTGTGATGTGCATGGATAAATCATTTATAATAAATACTTAAACACTGTGTAAAAAAATTAGAATTGTCATTTTTTATTTCATGGTGACTTTAAACTGAGGCTGGAAATAAACAGCACTAAAACTCAATCTTAAATAATTTAAAAACATTGCAAAATTCAATTAAATGTTTTCTGAATTTTCTGTATTTCACAATGTAACAGATTATGATTTAACCATGACATGCTGATAAAACAGATAACAGATTCTTACCTTTAAATGTTAACAAATGTGGTTTGCTTTTTGCAGTCGTCACCTTTCTGCCCTGCAGCTCAGCTTGACACATATAGGCCCCGTCATGACTGGACTTCACTGAGAGTGTGAGAGTGTTTCCTTGTATGTTTGTTTCACCACTGGAGACGATTTTGCTTGAGTCCTTGAACCACATATAATTCCAGTTTTCTGAAACACCTTGAATCACACACTGCAAAGACACTTTTTCCCCAAGAAACGCTTCTGTCCAATTAGACCGGATTTGTGGTTCAGGCGGTTCTAAAGGAAGAGAAGAAAATGGACCAAACTGTAATGTGAATGAGATTAGATAGATAATACAGATAGATAATAGATAATATGTACACTACTGTTCAAAAGTTTTGTTAGGTTTTTATTATTATTATTATTATTACTTGAAATTAATACTATTTACAATTTAGTACCATAAAAAGAAGAAATATTTCTTGAGCAGCAAATCAGCATATCAGAATGATTTCTGAAGGATCACTGAAGACTGGAGTAATGATGCTGAAAATTCAGCTTTACATATATATTAAAGTAGAAAACACTTATTTGAAAATAATATTTCACAATACAGTTTTTACTGTATTTTACTGTACATTAAAAAAATCTTACTGACCCCACATTTTTGAACCTTGTAGTATCCATATATATCCATTATTATTTACATATTTATCCTTAATTGTACGTTGACTTTTCGGCCCACTTATATACCAGAATCGGCATTGGTGCTGGGATTGGTATATATAGTGAAGAGAGAAAGTTATACTGTAAATAGATATTTGTGATATTCATTTACCTTTTAGAGTTAAAGCATAACTAGTACTTTTTTCTGACTCAGAAGCTCCTTTTTTTGCTTTGCATTCATATTTTCCACTGCCTCTCGCAGTGATGTTGGGCTGATGTTCACTAAGATCAGCTGAGTCCTTGTACCAGTCATATTGTAACCCTGGTGGTTCCTCAGGGACCTCACAGTGCAGAGTGACTGTCTCTGTGCTGTACAGCACCGCATGAGATGGATTCAGAGTTATGTCTGGCTTGGAAATCTGAATAAGAGGTTCTAGAGGATGAATAATCCTTAGGTTAGAGAGGCTAAATACACAATTGTGTTAAAAAGTGACTTGAAACTTGAAAATAAAACAGTTAAAATAGTCATTAAAAGTTCACATACAAACCAGACAGCAGTATAAAAATATGAATCTCACCACCAGTGCTGTCTTGAGATGTTACTTGTACACTCACTGCCACTATAAATTAACACAAAGATTCAGAGATCTCACTGTGAAAAGGCATTGCAGTATAGTGATAGTTTTAGTTGTATTGGTTTCTGTTGTATTAATATATTAATGAATCTAGCAAATATGGCATCCTACCTGTCAAAAGGAAGATTTTAAACCTTTCCATTTGCAGATGGAGTCAAAGCAGAGCCGGCAGCGAACAAAGATCTTGCGTGAGTAAGAAAAGCTTCCTGTTATAACCACTTCTAATGTAAACCTGACAGGAAATCATGATGTCATATCTACTTCCATTTAACCTACAAAACTGAACAAATGTACAGGTTTGGTGATATTTTAAATCACAAATGTCTGTTTTCAATTGTAATAAAAGGATGTTTGGTGAACCAAGCATGTGCTTATCCACACGCTGTGTGTTTGTGTGTGTGAGAGGCAGACAAAGGGTCAATTATTATGTACAGTAACAACATAATGTAACATTATGTAACCAAAAAGTGTTGTAGATCCATGAGTGTGTTTAAAAACATTTAATGTTTTATTTTTACAGACATGCATGCATAATTGCCAATTCTTAAGTTCTGTTAGTGTTATTGTTCTGGTTTCTGTTTTAAGTTTTGAGGGTGTGGTTCAAAGAATCGTTTCAAAAAATGTTGATGAATGCAAAGTTTTATGTGAACTTCCTTGTTCCTCCAACCTTGTTGTGTCAGTAGTCCTGTTGGATTATGACGGGCATTCAAAACTCCAGCAAAAGCACACAAGAAATACCTCAACAAACATTTCTAGCTTTGAAATTATGAGACAGTCACTTTTAGTGTGAACCAGAGGAACCTTAAATGTGTGCACATCAACAACATATAGAAGGAAATGTCTTTTTCGTCTCTCTCTTCAGTGCACTTTAATCACATAAAAAAGTAAAAATAAAAAAAGCAAGATGTGGGGCACAGCTATCACAGGTTTCTTCAGTTTGAAATCAAAAATAAACCTGACTGAAGTTGTTATATCAAACAGTTTTTAAACAGTTAAAGGTGGAAAGTCATTTTTCTTTTTAAGCTGCATTGAGACCAGCCTCCTGATCTGACTTGTGGTGAACCAACATCCTGTGAGCAGAGGCTTTAACAATCAAGCTAGAGGTCGGGCTGCAACAAATGCAAACCATTTTCTCAATAAACTGAAAGGAAGTGATGTCAAGAATAACACGCAAATTTAGGGTGGTATTTGAAAACCCATGGCTGATGGGTACAACAGTAGTTTTCAGTGTAAGGCCGCTTTGATCTCCTCATGAAGCCAAAATTCAGGGACTCTCATAAAACAGATGCCATGCTACAAAACAATAAAACTCACTAATCTGGAGAAAAGAAAGAACAAATGACACCACCTTGCCAAACTTCTTTCCTTGCTCATTTATGACCCCCCTCTCCCCTTTTTACTCGTCTCCCACCAGGCTTCACTGTAAGTTCACTAAGAATATCTACAACATATTTTTTATCTTGTGAATCGTTTGTTTTTCCCCTTCATGTTTAGCATCATTCTAAAGGTCTCATATTATGATAAAACTTTTGAAGAATTATGTTCTGCTGCTGAGGGGTGTCTTCCTCAGGGCTTGATGAAAATCTTTCGAGTATGTTTTCCTGACAAATAAAATGTTATATTTGATTTATTCTGAACTCTTCTGAAATCATTATGACTAGTAGATTAAGTGGAGCTTGGTATTACCGCAAATCTGCATCCAGAATAGGTCAAACTGAAGGCCCAGTGAATGGAGCGTGTGGCTCATCATGTGGGACCTTTTGATTTCTGTCTATCACTGACTAAGCAAGCTGTAGCTGTCTATGGAAATTACACTTTTTGTATGAGTGAGCATGTGGCAACCGACTTAAAGGTATTAGATCACTCTACATCCTCTGACTAAACTCAGAACTGGAGAGTTCTTTTTATCCCTGTAAAGCTGCTTTGCAAGACCTCTAATTGTTAAATGTGCTAAAGGGACGTTTTCTTCTTCTTCTGTACTTCACATATTTTATAGAAGTTAATCAAATATTTTTTGTAAATATAAATTCACTTTAAATTTCAGTCATATTTAATATTTCACAGATGTAAATCATGGGGAAATTGATGCACTCTCCAGTGAAAGGCATACTGATTCTGCATTAAACCTTAATATGATCCGAGCTAATGCTTCACTGTTTTAATTGAGGGACTGAGTAATAGTTTAGATCATATCTGACATACCAAAATATAATCAACAGCTGAATACCACTTACCACAATACCACAATTAGTAGTCTATGATTAATGGTGCATCGTCACCAGTGTTTTTAGTAACTGGTTTCATCGGTAGTATATTTGCTGAGAGTACCAGTTAAAGATTGCACGCAAATCTATTCAGAACCATTGTATGGGCTGATAAGACCACATACTATATATTTAAACTTGTCCATACCACTGTTTCGTCTATTCATTTGACCATCCTGCTGGTTTATCAGAAACAGACTAATGACAACAGCATACGGTGCAAACCTCAGTCCTGTTTAAAACACCTCTAAGTAAAATTTGACATAGAATAAGATATTTGTTAACTGCAGCATTATATCCAATGAGAAAATCAAAAACGGCACAATATCCTTTAGCATTTACACTATATCATTGCAAAAAGATAGTGGGTTCATTCTTTTATTGGAAACACTCAATTACAAAGAGGGATTTCATCAGGAATGAACTACAGTGACACTTTAAAATACATGCAACAATATAAAACTATTTTGTTTCGCTCTCACTAATGTGTAGTTGCTTTGAATCAAAACGGGAAACTATCCAATGTTTCTTATATTTTGTTGAAAGAATTAATCACAGAAGCAAGTCAGAGCCTTCATTACTGTGCACACATCAGCTCATCCTCCTGCACCACTGAAAACATCTACAACAGAAGGAGAGAAGAAAGTGTGTAAGATACCAGGAAACTCCATTACCCAGAATGCATCTGTTAAACTACACCACATGCACTGAATAGGTGTGACACTGAAACAGTACAGGCGGTCAAAGAGACACACTGATCAAATATTGATATTAATAATAGATAAGACATGCTTAGTATTCAGCATCAGAACGAACACAAGCACTACAGTATTTAGATGATCCAAAATGAAGATGCTTTGTGGGATAAACAGGTCAATTGTAGCTTTTCTCACCGCTGTCATTCTACAGCATTGTGTCCTGCTGCTCCTCAACAGATGAACTGCAAAGGACAAAGACTGATTTGAGATCATTACATCAATCTTTACAATTATTTCTCCCATTTTCAAGATTACAGCAGTAATCAAATTATTAGCCACAATAACTATTGATCATGGGACATGAATGATACCTGCAATCGTGTGACTTCTAGAGGGAAGGTGTGCTGGTACTTGATGTAATGATTTTCCTATAGCCAACTTAAACTGACTCTTTTGACTTGAGTAAACAATGGTCCAGTAAAGCCCAAAGTATTCTTCAGTTTTGATGCAAATGTTTAGCGTATACATACAGCTGAATGTTTTTCAATATTCCATCCACTTGTTAAGTATGACGTCAAGCAACCATTTCAAGTCCAATCCCTCTATCAGAGGCCAAAAGCAAACAACAGATGATGCTAATATACGCTCATGGTGTTATGTAGTACTACCAAAAATCATGATCCTAACCTATATCTCCATACCGAAATCTCAGATGGCCAGACAATGTATCATTGCTCCACACACCAGACAATGATTCATCCCCCCAATACTTTGCCGATTTTAACCAAGGGGGAACATTGATAAAAATGAATTTTTATGTTGTCTTTGATGCTTTTTTTCCCATCTCGTCAGTTTCCTTGTGGACAAACTAATTATGCTCAAAGTATACTTCATTTTTATGTGTACACTAGGTTATTTATACAGTGCATGTGACTGGAGACATTCTGTGACTGAATTTTTGTCATATGAGTCCTCTATCCGAATTGATTGATTGATTGATTGATTGATTGACTGTATGTGAAAATCTGTATGTGTGTAGCCCAATTTTTCTAACCATTTATAGTTTGTTCACAAGGTGGCAAAACTGACTGTTGTTTCAAAGTTGAAAAAGTGATGAAACAACAACAAAGACAACAAATAAAGACATTTTCATTGCTCATAATTTCTGGAGAGAAATAGCGCAGACACTGGATAAAGATAAATCTTCCTAGTGCGCATGTGTCGAGCGTTAGGGCTCAAAATACACAGTACATGAGGATTTTAAAATCTGGCTGCAGATGTACAGTACGCGCATAAGATTTATGCAAAGATGAGTTTGTTTCTTCATCAGAACAGATTTGGAAATGTAGCATCACATCACTTGCTCATCAATGGGTCTTTTGCAGTGAATGGGTGCCGTCAGAGTGAGAGTCCAAACAGCTGATAAAAACAAATCCAAACAAATTAACCATTAAGACATATTTAAACTCCAGCTAAAATACGAGTCCTCTATCCATAATATTGCTTTCTGCAAGTAAAATCTGTCTCATCTGAATTAAGAGAGAAATATGCTAAGATCAAGCACCATTTACAAGCGAAAACAGTCCAAAACAGTTCTAAACAAATTTGAGGGTGGATTTTGATTTGAGTGGACAACAGGGGATGGCCTTTTTCACTGGAGGAAGCATTATTATGGATTATGGACTTGTAATTTAGCCAGAACCAGTTTGAAGTATAAAATGTCTTAATAATGTTTATTGTTTTTTTTGTTTTTTTTTTACAAATATGCAGATTTTCACTTCAGAAGACATTAACTGATGGACTGGAGTGGTGTGGATTACTTGTGGATTATTGTAATGTTTTTATCAGCTGTTTGGACTCTCATTCTGATGGCACCCATTCACTGCAGAGCATCCATTGGTGAACAAGTGATGTAATGCTACATTTCTCCAAATCTGTTCTGATGAAGAAACAAACTCATATAAATCTTGGATGGCCCGAGGGTGAATAAATATTCAGCAAATGTTCATTTTTGGGTGAACTATTCCTTTAAGCATAACTACCACAAGGATGTGGGTTTGACATGTTTGACTTCGCCACTGTCTTCCTCATTTAACAACTTCAGAATTCATGTTTGAGGTCTGACTGCATGTAAGTTATTTACACATTAAATTAATAATTAAAAACCTGATACTTTGTAGTTTTTGGATATTTTGTGAAATGTTTATAGCGAAAAATAA